TATGCACCTTTAATAGAGAATCATATGTGACTTCAGCAGAGTAGACTAATTGAGGTGAAATGTATACTATTTAGCAAGTTGGCTTGCTTTTCTGCAAATCTAGTAAGTTGGTCAACGGGAGAAACAAGTGTCTGTAAAATATTAATATGAAAGGCAACACAGTATAATGGCCAATCTGTTGAATTTCAGTGCCCTGTCAGTTAATGAAATTCATTAGGAATTTGGGCTGGGCATTCTCTCTCAAATGTAACTACTTTACCTGTTGTTTGAAAAACAACATTTGAGGCAGCTAGGAGGAAAAGGGAGAGATGGAGTCCATATACTAAGATCCAGAGCCTAAAAATAACATCTAACATAAGTCAGGCATTTGAGTGATTTTTGTCTGGCACAAGAGTGTTTACAGAACACTCTTATCCGAATGATTATCTCCCCAACTGCAATGCTTTCAAGTATACAGGGTAACACCTGGACATTTACAGTGTCCGGTGGCATAGTTTAACGTTTATACATCCAACCTTGGCTACATCAAAATGTATATGTGGACCACTATTATTTTACTTATTTAATGTCATCATTATACATTTATATATAGAAAAATGGGAGTGTGCCCTGAGGATCTTACAGTCTAAGTGTCAATAGCGGGAAAGACAGGAAAAGGAAAGAAGAAACAGGTGAGGTCAGGACCAACAGGAGCAAATGCAAATATTGCTTTTCTTTGAGTCAAAGAACATATGCTAACAATGATAGTAATGAAAAAAAAAACCTTACTGGAAAGATTATCCTGTCCTTATCTTTCTTTGTAGAATTCTTCTGCAAAAGGAATTCTCAGCAGCTGTGCTCTTTTGCCTATTGCTGGGAGACACGGAGAATTCCATGTATATTAAGAACACCTTTGCCTCCTCCCACTGGCCATTACATCCTTCTGCCCCTTTAAGTCATATCTAGAATTACCCCCCTCACTTTTTTATCCTTTTTACAGCGTTTCATATTGTGCTTTCTGAATGAAATTATTTCTTCAGTGAGCTTGCCTAAAGCCAGTATATTCAGTTTACATTTAGGTAAATATATCAAGTTTCCTTGCCTAACATGGGATCACAACTGAAGACTTTTCCAGTACTCTAGTACTTTAAATCACTGTCCATTAATGAAGATTGGGCTCTAACTTAATCAAGCTTCATTGTCTGTTGTGTGAGAGAAAATTGTTCTGGAGCTTAAAGCATCTGATTTGTTCAGACTTTGCTATAATTTTTCTTGCAGGTGTTTAAGAAAAACTAGGAACTGCTTAGTTGTGATGATGATGCCGTTGTTAAGAAGGGTCTATGAAAAGCATGTGTTTAGTTCTGTTTTGGATATATTGGTGAAATTAATTTATAAAAAAGCATATACTGCAGAAAAGTGTTTGCCAAATAATACATATCTTGCATAAACACATCTGTATGCATTTTCTGACTTTTCGTTCTTCTTTTATAGTTGGGTTTTGTTGTATGTTGTCCCTTAGTTTATTGTTTTTATCTTGCTTAGTGTACTGTGAGCCATGCAGAGTCACTCAGAGTCAGGTGGCACCAAATCAAATCAATAAAATAGTTAGATCTGCCACACTGTTTCAAGTTGTTTTAATTTTTAAAATCCCATTAGAATTTGTTTTATTATTTTAAATGTTAAAATGCTTTCCTTCTGAGAAATCTCACTATCTTCAAATATACAGCTCTCTGTGTCTTTATAAATTATGGCAGGCTACTGAAGTGAAAATAAATGCACGATATTGGAACTTGGCAGTTAAGAGCCCATTTCTAGCATTTTGCATCAGAATGGCCTCACATTGCATTTTATTCATTTTATTGATTTATATAGCCACCCATCTCACACAAGTGACTCTGGGGGCTTACAAGGATTAACACAGAGAAAAACCCACAACATATAACCCAGGGTACCCAAGGATGAACAATACTGTAATCCCACTCACAGAAAAAGCATATCTATAATAGGAGAGTTCATCTGCCCACCTGACCCTAAGGCCTGGGGAAACAGCACGGTCTTCAAAGACTTGTAAAAGGCTAACTGGGTTGAGTCCACCCAATTCTCAGGTGCTGCAACAAGATGGTATCATTTGATAGAAGGGACCCAGAGCATGTTCTCTCTAGTAGATCTGGTGGGGCGAGCAGAAACAATGGGAAAAGGCAGTCCAACAAATAGCCTGGCCCTATGCCACATGTGGCTTTATAGGTGATGACCAGCACTTTGAAGAAAATTCTACTGGGAGCGGGTGCAGCTTACAGAGCAGTAGTGTTATATAATAACAAATGCCCCAAATTGCCCATTCCACTGCATTCTGGACCAGCTGCAGCTTCCAAGCGCTCTTCAAGGGTAGCCCCATGTACAGCTCATTACATAATCTAAACAGGAGGTGCCTAAGGCATAAGTCACCATGAGCAATCCTCCTAGTCCAGAAACGGGCATAATTGGTGCACAAGGCAAAACTGTGCAAAAGACCCCTGACCAACAGCTGCCACCTACTCTTTGAGCAGGAGGTGAGAGTCCAGGAGGACCCCCGAATTGCATACCAACTCTGACTGAGGAAGATGCAGAGTAAAAGATGAAAAATACCCAGAGCTGGGGGGCCTTAAAACCCACAACCACTCAGTTTTGCCAGGATTGAGCTGAATCCTGTTCTCTCCCATCCAGACCCTCACAGCCTCCAGGCACTGGGAAATGACCTGGACAGCATTGCTTTATCAACCCAGGGTAGGGATGTACAACTGAGTATCAGCATATTGATATCACACACCATGCCTACTGATGACTTTGTAGATATTAAATAGGAGTGGGGAAAGGGTAGGCAGGGGCCTCAGGCTTGACCTCTCCCCCTCACCAACACTGACTGGAAGCAGCCTGGAGTAAGGAGAAGCACCATAACACAGTGCCTGCCACTCCTAACCCCCTGAGCTGGTTCAGAAGGATACCATGATCGATGGTATTGAAAGCTACTGAGAGATCAAGGAGGACCAGATGGATGCACTACCCTCTTCCTGAGTCTGCCAGAGGTCATCAACAAGCATGATCGATGCTGTCTCGGTGCTATAACTAGGTATGAATCCTGACTGAAAAGGGTCCAGATAATCTGCTTCTTCCAGAGCTCTCTGGAGCTGTAAGCCAATCATCTTCTCAACAACCTTCCTTAAAAAGGGAAGGTTGGAGATTGGAGGAAAATTGTCTAGGTCCATTGGATCCAGTGGTGATCTCTTAAGGAAGGGGCAGACCTCCTTCAAGGAGGATGGAACTACCCCCTCCTGCTGAGAAGCATTCACAGCTGCATAAACTCAGTCACCTGCTCTATCCCAGGACACCTTAATCAACAAGAAGGGACAGGGATCTAAGACCCAGGTGACTGAGCTCACAGCTCTGAGGACCCTGTCCAGTTCATCAGGACCAACAGGTTTGAACTCTCCCCAGATAACTGGGCATGACTTTGCCTCAGGTAATTCCACAGGACTTGTATAGCTGGATTCCAACTCCAAGCAAATCTAAGCAACTTTATCCAACAGGTGCCTAGAATAATCTTCACAGCAGCCCTACAAGATTTCTGGCAGCTACTCCTTGGTCTAGGCTGTCCTAGACCCACATCCTAACACCACACTGTCTCTCAGTTATTTTTTTGGCACTTAGGACATTTTAATCATTTGTTAGATTTTTTTAATTCCACCTTTTCATTCAGGAGCTTAAGGTTGTATAGACAGCACTCTCTTCTTTTATTTTTTCCCACAATAACCATCCTGTAAAGTAGGTTGGGTTCAAAGAGAGTGACTGGCCAAAATTTCCCAGTGAGCTTCTGCGGTTGAGGGTGGACTAGAACCTGGGTCTCCCTAGTGCTAGTCCATCACCTTAATTATACATACCTCTTTATTTCAATAAAAGCTCAAATACAAATTGTGTAAACACTGTTAAACCCTTATGAAAGCTTGTCCCATCCAAGGCATTATGTTAAATAATTTTTTGCCAATTTTTTACAGCAACTGTACTTCTTGACTTTTTGGCTAAAATCAAGTGTATACCTTAACATTACACTGACTCTCTCTCTCTCTCTCTCTCTGAAACCTAGACAAATTGTAAATCAGACTATATAAATCTGCCACATATATTTTGGCCCATAACTCCTATATATTTTAGTCATATGCTTACCTCATCCAGATTCTTTTCTCTTACATCAAACAAAGCAATAAAATGAAGAAAATTCATTTTGTTCTGTGAAATCTGAGATAACACAGTTATCTAAATATGTGTGTTTTTTCTCTCATAACTATACAATCAATCATATTATGAACAGCCAAAATCCAGGAAGCATGTACATAATTATGGAAACTATGGAGTTGGCATGATGGTTCCTAAGTGGGCCAATTCTTAACATTCTATAAATCATGGATTATATTCTCAATACTACAGGAAATAGCTATGCATGCTTAATAAAAATGTATTTGATACAAACTTACACATCGGTGAAAAGTTGAAAACATTTTTGTTACCCTTGCCTATCTTTTTAAATCTCCAAAATCCAGTCACCAAAAAGGTATGATCAATTTGCAACAGGTTTTCAAAATCTCCTACACAATTTGAAGTCTTTTCTGTGCTGCAGACAATAATATCCTAAGTTTTAGTGCAACTATCCTAAAATCACGGAACACAGGAGAACTTGGTTCTGAATAAAAATGCATATTTCTCTGAAAGTATCTTAAATTAAAATACAAATATTTTTAAAATATTTAGTTGATTTTAACTTGATTGTATTAAAAAATATTAATAAATGTACCTTAGTTATAAGCGAGTAATCTTTTTTGTATTGAAAATTATGGCATTGTTTTGATTAGGAAGCCAAAAAGGAAAAAAGTTTGAAATGAACATCTGCTATAACTCTTGCTAAAAAAAATACATACCAGCACACATACAGAATACCAAAGTTACTAGAGGTAAAGAATTAAAATTAACTTTTTAAATGCTTTGTTACTTACAATATTGCAAGCAGGTACCATGAATACATTCATCTGTGTTGGCCCATGCTATTTTCCAGAAGTCACAAGCTGTGGCTTTCTTCCAAGCTGTTCAAAATAAGGATAATTTATTATCTTGCATAAGTCACTCCAGAAATCATGGAAATCTTTCTCTTTTTAATCCACACTAAAGACAGCTTCTCACAGGCTACATGAGTACTGCTAAGTTGTCACTAGGTTGCAAAGCGCCGTGCTTTCTAATCTGGATCTGCAGTAAGAAACTTGTGCTTGTTTCCAGTTTTAGGACATGGAAAACAGGAAAGGGAAAAGGCAGCTTCATGGAATGAACTGGTCAAGAAGAATATTATCACATAAACCTGCTTCTGATGGGGAGGAGGGGAGCAGAATCCCACAAGTTTCAAATGCCCCAGGCAACTTTCAGAGGAAATGAGAGGGGGGAGGGAGAGGTACATTTCTGTTCTGTCAAAGAGTTCAGTGTGCAAATCAGAACAGGGAACTGAGTTGTTAAACTGGCCAGCCCTTGGCTGAGGAGATCTTTCCAATATGAATTTGGCAGATCCTTTCCACTGACTGGAAGGAAGCTTGCTCCCTCCTCCTCCTCCTCCTCCTCCTTTCTTTTTCTTTTCACAGACTAATGGTGCTGTTTTTAGCAGTGACTCTAGACATTTCTGGATGACGGGGACATGGGGGGGTCCATGCATCTCAGGGCGACCAGCAGCACTCATCTTCAACTTATGTTCTCTGAAAGAGATCTAAGTGATACAGTAGTTTGCTTTTTACATTGCAAGGGAACATTTATCAAATTTAAAATTACAACAAGGAAAAGAACTCCAAAACGAATTTCCTTCCAAATAAAAAGGACATTAAATACCTTAAGTACAAATTAGGCAGAACAAAGCACACTGGTAATTTGTTTCTTCCAAAACTACAGTTACTTATTTCTGAGCTAGTACTAGCATAGTCACCTCCAAATATACACTAGCAATCAGTAAGAGGAAGCAGAGCAAATTGAGATAAAATAATTCCTAACTAAATTAGAGAGCAAAGACTGCTGTTTAGCCAAAGTCTGGTCAATCAGATTGGTCACTTGATTGGATCAAGTGGGAAATCAGTGAGACAGGAAAATGGAGGCAAAATATACAGTATCTGCAGAAGATGAATTTGACTATTGTTAAATTTGGCAAAGTGGTTAACTGCTCCTGCAACAGCCAGAGAGGGGGGCTACCTGAATACCCTTTTAAAATAATTTTAAAAATCTTTTTTGTTTGTTTTGCTTTTAAAAAAAAAACCTTTAAAAATCTTTTTATAACCATCATTTATGCATGTATGTCGCCTTTTCCTTTGTTTTTACTTTTTTGTTTGCATGTTTTACTAATTTAAAAATGTTTAAAAAATACCAAAAACTTAAATAAATTTTGAATCACATCTTTTTCAACAAGAAATATTTCAGAAATGAATTCATTGCATTTATATAGAAAAGACCTGAGTAAATGGTTATGTCGCTGGAGATGCAATGAAATTAATGCTTTATTTAAATATGTGTTTCTACATTGTCCAACAATTGTTCCACTTGGGAAAGAAGTTATTACATGCATTAACTCAACTTTGAGATTCAATATTTTCAGATACTCATATTATTTTGAAGTTTATTCCTATCACATGGCAGTTGATATCTGGACAAAGAAAGTGGATTTTCTGTACCTTACCTAGAGTTAAAAGACTTATTGTTCATAATTGGAAAGAAAAACATGGCTTCAACTATTCAGTGATCTGAAGAACTGATGTTACCACCAATTTATGAATCAATATCAATATAGATTAGTTATGGATGATTGTAATGAATTATTGCTTCCATACGCTGAAATAGTACAACTTTATATATGTATGTATGTCTGTGAACATATGCCCTGTATGTTTTTGTTTCTTTTTTTAGTTTTCTTTTTTTTGTCTTCTTTTATAATTTTGTGTATTCTTTTTATTTGTTTTTTGTATTTAGTTAATAAAAGAATGGGGGGGAAAAGAAAGATGCATAAAATAAAATTACATAGATGTGGATTGTATTACAAAGAAAAATTATGCTCAAATACAGTTATCAAAATATTAAAAATAACAAATATGTAATATAGTTATTTATATGCTTTATCAATTCATTAAATCAATAACAAGGCAATACCTTTTTTAGGATATAATTTTAGCTAGTGAGATTTACTGAAATCAACAAACGTTTTTGGAGTCTAGAGGTCATAAATTATTTTGTTGCCTACATACATTAATGAATGAAATGCTACATTTCAGTTATTAGAAGTTAGTAAAAATAAAGTAATATTTTCCCCAAGTTAATGGAGCCTGCGCTAGAACTTCGGAAGCGGTCTCAACTCTGCTTTGAATCCTATATCGCTACTGTAATGTCTTGCAAATGGTCTGAGGTTCTCTGAATCAAGAAAGTAAAGTACTTTGACTGAATATACTTACCTATTTAAAACGCAGTTGTCTGTAAATTGTCACTTACATGGTATGATCACAAATAGGACGAAATTCCTTTACTTTAAAATCATGGTCATGTTTTGGAAGCATGTTGTAAATAGCAAAAGAGTGCACAAAACCCTGAAAAGGTTCAGAATGTCAAGTGTACCTGGGATTAGACAGTAGTTTATCTCTTTGGCCAAAAGGTAATAGAAGCGTTATAAACCCACCTCTAAATCTTTCCTTATTTTAATAAATCTTTTACTTTTTAAAAGTCACCCGGAAACTTCATATACAGTATTAACCGATTGTGCATGGTGCTTGATGAAGGGGAGGCTAGTAGAATTTGGGCACAAAATCCCAGGGAATACTTTCAGAGCTACAGCAGTGAACGGTATCACTCGCGAAATGTATTTTCAGAAAAGAAAGGGTGGTTTGTACAGTAATCTGAAAGGCTCGTAACACGAAAATCAAATATTCAATCCGTCGTACATTTACTTCGTTCCATAAAAAACCCCCGCTTCACTTCAGTTATTGAGCATGCGCAGAACTGTTCATCGATTTCATTGGTCCTGGGAAGTAATGGATTCTCGGCCCTTACTGGACTATATGTACGCATGCGCGGTGCTCTAAAGGTGTGCAAAATGTCGGCGCAGGGCGACTGCGAGTTTTTAGTGAAGCGAGCCCGGGAGCTAGTCCAAGGAGACCTGTGGGCCGCCAAGGCTTGGCTTATCACCGCGCGGAGCCTCTATCCTGCGGACTTCAACATTCAGGTTGGTTGGTTAGCTGACTGGTTGGTGTCAGGAACGCCTCCTTTATACTTGCTTTCTGGAGCGTTGCGCCCGCCAAGCCCCACCTCCTCCGACCGCATTTCTGCCGCTTTTCAGAGATGCGGGGAAGCATTTGTCCTTTACATTTGGAGGCAGCGTCTCCGCTTCCTTTGACGGGCGTTTTTCCTTGTGTGAAGGGATAATGTTGAAAAAGCTTCCTTTAAGAGACTTTAGTGGAGAAATCCAAGATTGTATTAGTTATATTATTTGGTATTTTTCTCCTGCCTTCTTTCGTAGAAATAAAAACAATTCGTACTCCTTCAGACTTGAATCTCTGTGGGAAAACGGATTGTCAGATTATTGCTTTCACTATTTAAATATTCATGCTTCCTGCACTAGAAGGAGCAACAGGTTGTCCCCTGTCCTTTTCTTCTGTATTGCAGGGTTAGAATTGGCATTAAAAGTAGATTTTAAATTCGTGTAATATAATTTAGTTGTATTATTTTTAAAAAATAAACGAATATGTGTTGTAGTTATCCTAATATTTTAATACTTTTGTCTCATTTGTTTCAATGTACATGGGCCAATGTATCTCCTCTCTTTCTCCCCTTTTTTCATTCACCCAAAACTCTGTCATCAGATAACTATCACTGATATAATGCCTGTTGGATAGTGTTTAAAGTCAGCAAGGCAGAAGGAGCTTTAACATCTCTCCAGTTCTAGACTAACCTGTTATATACTGATATGCACTACATTAATAAAGGAATTGCCTCCTCTCCTTTTCAGTAGCAGAGAAGTCCCCTAACCTAACCTAACAATTTTCTTTGAGGTCACTTTCCTGCTGAAGCTTATTCCCTCATAGCTACCAGGGAGAGTTATTTTCAGCAGGAAAATGGCATGGGAAGAAGTTAAGTCCTTTTGGATTGTTGTCTAAACAATAGCTTGTTAAGGCACAGAGGACTGTGATCTTTTCCAGAAAGGGATTAGACTGGTACACTAGAGGAACTGGGCAAAGCCACTCCTGGCAACAAATCCTGTCTAAACCTTAAATACTGGATCCAGAAGCATATCAAAATGAAGATGTTTACAACCATGGCCTGAACTTGGTACATAAAGAATACATAATATTGGTGGTGATATAAGGGTTGCCTTCATAAATAAATTTATTTGGAGAGGAGACCTTTTAGTAAAAAAGAATATTACAGTATGAGGATGTAGGGTTCCCTAATGAAATCTAAGAGCACCATCCCCTAACCACCCCATTTTATTCAGTTAATGTTTTCCGGTAGTCTTGTAAAACAATTAATTGGGTTAGACCCAATTGTTAGTAATTGAGGAACTTCATTGAAGAAAACCTTACAGTGAAACTTGTGGAACACCATACTTTTAATGTGATGGAATGAATGGCTCTTTATTAGTGTTAATGCTTTTGTTCTTCATTTTTTCTCTTTTTAGTTATGCTAAGGTAGAAAAAATATGCAAAATTTTCAGTGCAGGGATCTGTTTTCTGTCTCTTCACACTCTTCTTTCTTGCTTCCTAGTATGAGATGTACTCCATTGAGAGGAATGCAGAGCGAACAGCATCAGCAGGCAGATTGCTATATGACATGTAAGATGTATTTTATTGGATTTTCCCCAAATAAGGACTGAATGGATAGGATAGCTACTTCATTTGTAACTGATCTATTTTATAAAATGTGATACATTCTCTTATGTGCAGATGACTGAGCCCTCCTCTCTGAAACTAATCAACATGAGAATAGCTTTATAAGCAATTGCCTCTTATTGTAATTATAACCAAAATTATAGTTTTTGAGGAAAAATACCTTACAGGTGCCAATAAATAGGAATCAATTGAATGAATAAAGCATTTTAAATATCTGTGAGTTATATTTCAAGCTTTGAAATCTGAGGTACATATCTCAAATTTCCTACTGAGTCCTCAGAGAAGTATGGCTGCTACTTTTATATTCTGCACCAAGACATGGCTAATATGTCCCTGCTCTTTGAAAAAGGTAAAAGTTTTAACCCAGTTTTCCTAGAGAATGCAGACTTGGTCCTATAAGGAATATATGCTCTTAGGGATAGTAGGATCCAAATTTGTACAATTCATTCTTGCAATTCTGCAATGTATTCCAAATGTCCTGTACCTGGAGGTAAGGCTTGTTTCAGCAAAGGTGCAAATTTGTTTGTTTTGTTTTTTCAGCTTATGGTTAATTTTTTTATACTAGTAGATTTTGTTCCATTAATTCTGAACGACAAATTTAATTCAATGTGGAAATAGGTGCTAGTGAGTTAATTTTTATCTTGGATTTTTTCCCCTTCAAATGTTAATATTGAAAGAATGATTAAATGACACATTTGGTATATACCTTTATAAAAATGCAAGTTTCTGACCAGTTTCATACCTGCCTCTTACCTTTCCATTCTTACAGTGCTGAAATTGCCAGTCGTTCATGTTAGTCTGGTTTAATATCCTTCCTACAGCATTATTATGGCAGACATAACTTTTAATTTGGTTAATGCCTATGCTAATGTCTTCCTTTACTGTCCATTTTATAGAGATATTTGTGTGACTGTGATCAAGTTTGTTATGACGCCTCTCAGGCATGGAGCTTGTACTTCATGTTTTTTATTTGCTGTCAGACTAAAATTTGGACATTTCCAGCAGCATAACATTTGTCTCAAAATCTGTTCTGCACATAATCTGTTATTTAATGCAGGTTAATATCTAGGTTTCACATACATTTGTGTACTTTCAGAAATTTGAAGATAAATTCAGGATGTCTTGGTTTTGTAATAGAGAGAAGTGTTTTTGTATTTTTGTAAGAAATTTCTCTGTGCTAATCTTTTTTACCATACAGGTAGTCCTCTGTTAATGACAGTAATTGAGATTGGAATATCTGTTGCTAAGTGATGCAGTCATAAAGTGCAATGTCACGTGACCACATCACTTACCAACAGCAATCCCTGCAGTGCCCGTTGCCCTCATTAAGTGAGGATTGCAGGTTGTTAAGCAAGAACCTTCTCGCATCTTCCTGCTGGCTTCCGACAACCAAAGTCAGTGGGGAAGCCATCAGGAAATTGCAAGTCCCAGTGGCTTACAAGAAAGCCAGCAGGCAGGTAAGTGGCTGCTGCTGGATGGGGGAGGGTGTGTGAGGGTGTGCGGGTGGCCAGGGCAGTGCAAGCATAGAGGGGCTGGGGGAGGGTGGATGGGTGGCTGGCAAGGAAGTAGCCCCAGAGCCATGGTTCCTCCCCAGCAGGGGAGAAGCAGGTGAAGATGGTGAAGGTCAGGTGGGGGGCAGCAGGTGGCAGTCATAAATGCAGGCTGGCTCTAATTTTTATCATGTGGCCGCGGGGGTGCTACAACAGTCATCAGTTCAAAGACTGGTCGCAAGTCCATTTTTTCAATGCTGTCATAACTTCGAAAGGTCACTGAGCGAATGGATGTTAAGCAAGGACTACCTGTAATAATCTAATATGATGGACAAGTAGGATCTCATAAGATTTCTTTTAGTTTTAAGTTTGTGGAGGTGTGGAAATGAAATAAAGATGTGCAGATAGATCCAAAGCAGTAAAGGTGCTTTGGATTCAGCGTGGACGTGCTTGTTGTACCTGTCAGAAGCCTTGTTTTTTCAGGTATCTCATGGCACCCATGCAATGCTAGGAAAATGTGCATTTTCCTAGGACCACACAGTAGCCACCAGGAAATGACAAGGCTTCTTTTAGCTGTCACTGACAAGTATAATATGTGCATCCACATCGGATCCAAAGTACATTTCCTGCTTTGGATCCAAATACTGATACCTTGGGGACAAAATACCTAACATATATATGGCATGGATAGAATTTGTCATCTAATGATATGAATGAACAATAAATTCAGGATGGACCAAAGAAAATTCTTCACACAGTGTGTAATTAATGTATGGAATTTGCCAACATGTTTTGATATTTTGATGGTTCTGAAAAACAAGGTAATGGAATTGTTAACTGGAGTGGCTAAATGGAACTTCAAGCTTCAAAGGTAGGGGAACACTGGTAAGGGAGAGAATACTGAATACTTTCATGTTGCTTTGGGTCCTAGAAGCTTCTGGGTTGGCCTCTGTTAAAAGAGAGCTTTATCAGTTCATAGAAAACCAAAAACTTCATATGTCTCAAGCTTGTAGCTTTTTCATTATGATTCTTCATTATAAACATTTTTGCTAGCATAGAAGTGTCATAATCCATTTTATGACAATAAACTGAAATTATATACCTCATCCACATTATTTCTTAGAAGAAATTGTTTAAATGATAATATCAGTTGGAATGTGTCATGCTATAGATACTTTTATATAAAAAGACTGTAGGTGGCTTCCTGAGTTTTTATTCTTTTTTCTTTTAATATATTGTCTTATTGAATTATTATAAAATACAAGTAGTACATTATATTATTTGGGTACAGTGGTATTTATACAGAATTGACTAGAGATTATTAACACTGATGATTTAAATAACTTATTAAAAAATTTTCTTTATCTTTAAAGGTTTATATTAACTTATGTTTTCTAAAATGTTAATGTTAATGACATTTAGAGCTGAGTGTAGCATTGTCATCTTCATATTCTTTTTTTTTTTTACTTGCTTGAACATTGATGCTTTGGACAGTTAAATTTTTTGCTGTTCCTTGTACAAGGATAACTTGTACTGCTGTTAAAAATGTTATATTAACTTATGTTTTCTAAAATGTTAATGTTAATTACATCTAGAGCTGAGTCATCTACGGGGATAACCTGTACTGCTGTTAATGTGACCAGTTTGGAAAAACCCTTCACTTTAATAGTATGCTGTTCATAGCAAAATTTCAGCTGTTCTTGTGTGATTTCAAATAGAAATTCCCCCTCTTCTCCAATTCTTTATTTCAGGTTTGTAAATTTTCCAGATCAACCAGTGGTATGGCGGGAGATTAGTGTTATCACATCAGCACTACGAAATGACTCACAGGATAAGCAAACACAGTTTTTAAAAGGTATACATTTCTTCTACAATTAAATTCCTTGCAGTACAATTAAATAATTTACTAGTGTTTTGATGGGTTTGATTTGTAGAAGGCTTTGAGAAACAAGGTGGTAGTAGCTTTTCTTCTAAATTGCCCTACCCAGTAAGTTACTTGTGTCTTACCAGAAGCTCTTTACAGTGCAATCCCTTAAAATAATTACTTGAAGTAAGTCCCACTATATTGTGTGGAGTTTCCTCTTCAATGCAACTGTGGTTATATTTTAGCCATACAGCTCAGGAGTTCATGGTAGCCATGGGCCTATCCCTGATCATCCAGGGCCCAACACAGGACAGTGGTCACACACCTGATCTGGTTTTCCTGTTAGAGCAGTGGCAATGTGATCTGGAATTTAGTGTCACTCTTTTAGTGTCATTCTTATCATGGTCAGATCATGGCCTGATTACTATGGGGTTTCTCAGTGCCACTATCCACTGCAGGGAGGCAGGACCTATTAAATTGGTCCGCCCTCAGTGATTGATGGACCCTGATGGATTTCAGAGGGAACTGGGGGTTGTTCCTTCTGGTCTGCTGTATGGCCCATCTGAAACCTTGATGGCTGCTTAGAATAAGAGGGCTGCTGAGTCCTTGGATTGGATCATGCCTATGCAACCTCTCCCTTCTCATGGATCCCATCACACTCTGTAGTTCATGAAAGAACTGAGGGAGATGAAACAAGAGAAGAAACATATAGAGCATCTCTGGCACTCAACAAGGGAAGAACTTGACTGAACATGTGTTAGAGCCACTATTAAGGCCTACCTCGTGGTGGTAAGAGGAGCAGACAATACTTCTCTGCCCTTATTGCATCCTCAGATAGCTGTCCCGCAGCCTTGTTTCAGGTGACACCTGCCCTTTTGGTCAGAGATCCCCCTACAAGGCCACGCGGAAGAATTTGCATAGCATCTGTTGGACAAAGTTGCTCAAATTTGTTCTCAGTTGGATGCCAGCTTTTTTGCAGGTCCTAGGGAGATTCCTGGGGAAGAGTCTTGCCCTGTTATCAGAGAATGGTTTGAACCTATTGGGCCTGAGAACCTATTGCTCTTTAGATCCATGTCCCTCCTGGCTAACTAAAGCTGCCAGGGGGTGTTGTGTGGGTAGGTTCTAGTGGTGGTGAATTCTTTGAGTGAAGGGGTTGTTCCTCCACCCCTTAAGGAGCTGCTGGTCCACTCCCCCTCAAGAAACCATCCCTGGATCCCACCATACTGGATAACTTTTGTCCAGTATCTAACCTCCCCTTCTGGGGGAAAGTGATTGAGAAGGTGGTTGTGCAGCAGTTTCAGAGGACTCTGGATCTGGACCCCTTTCAGTCAGGATTCAGACCTGGGTATGGGATGGAAATGGCATTGGTTGCACTTTTGGATGATCTTTGGTGGAAGCAGGATAGAGGATGTGCATCCATCCTTGCTCTGCTTGACCTCTCAGCTGCCTTCGATACCATTGACCATGGTATCCTTCTGGATCAACTCCAGGGATTGGAGGTGGGTGGCACTGTATTGTGCTGGTTCTCCTCCTTTCTCCAGGGTTGATTCCAGCTGGCGGTGATTGGAAGGGAGAGATCCCACCCTTGGCCCCTACTTTGTGGAGTCCCACAGGACTCTATTCAACATCTGTATGAAGCTGCTGGGTGATATCATCCTTCACTATAGGGTGAACTATACCTCTTTGCCTCTGGCAAATTAAGCTATGCTGTTGATATCCTATCCCAGTGCCTGGAGACTGTGGGGGCCTGGATGGGGAACAACAGGCTTCAGCTGAATCCTGGCAAGACTGAGTGGCTCTGAGTTTTAGGGCCCTCTGTTCAGGGGCTGTGTCATCTTTGGTATTGGATGGGGTTGCACTGCCCCAAACAAACCTGGTGTACAACCTGGGGATCCTGCTAGACTTGCGTGACTCTTGCAGCTTCATGTTGTGCGCCAGTTGTGCCCATTCCTGAACTGGAAGTTTCTACTCATGGTCACTCATGCGCTGGTCACCTCCTGGGTAGATTACTGTAATGCGCTCTATGTGGAGCTACCCTTGAAGAGTATCCGGAAGCTTCAGTTGGTGCAAAATGCAGCAATGCGGGCAGTTATGTGTGTCCTTAGAACAGCATACATTATACCTCTGCTCCGAGAGTGGCATTGGTTGCCAGTTTGCTTCCGGGTCCAATTCAAGGTGCTGGTTTTAACCTTTAAAGCTCTTCATGGCATGGGGCTGGGTTATTTGAGGGACCACCTCCCCCCTATTACATCTGCCAATTCTACCAGGTCTGGCAGAAGAGGTATGCTGTGGGTCCCATTTGCAAAGAGTTTCAGATTGTCCCCATCCTTGATATCTTTCTGGAAGTCCCTTGAAACATGGCTGTGTCAGCAGGCTTGGGGATCTCAAGGAAATGGTGATCTCGTGAGATGGCAGCATTGTTTTTAACATCATTTTTTTCCTTCTATCTTGCTATTAATATTGCTGATGTCTTTTTAATTGTACTTGTTTTAATATTTTGTTTTACGACTGTTTTTATTGTGTACCACCTAGAGTCACTTTTCTGCAATATGGGCAGTATATAAATATGATAAATAAATAAATCTGGAAAAAGTATATTCTCTTCACAGAAACAAATACCTAAGCGAATGTGTCGAGAACTTCCTCAGATTTTATGCCAGTTTTTCTCCCATGTTCACACCCATACTTTCTGTTTCCAGTTTTTACCTATGTCTTACCTTTCAAAACCATTAATTCATTATTGCCTTCCACCCTCTCTTTCAAGGTTTATTTGAAACTCTTCCAGGCCGAGTTCAATGTGAAATGTTATTAAAAGCCACAGACCAGTGCTTCAATACTTTAGAACGGGCAGAAATGTTACTTTTGCTTTTACGGCGTTTTCCTGAGACTGTGGTTCAGCATGGGGTAAGAAAATGAAGATTACATGCTAAATACTTGCATGTCTGGAGGTTGAGTCATGGCAACTGGACTTCTTTTCTTTTTGGTAGAGACGTTTTGCCACTTGTCCAAGCAGCTTCTTCAGTCTAAAAAAGTTAAAAAAAACTTTTTTTAGACTGAAGAAGCTGCTTGGACAAGTAGCAAAACGTCTCTACCAAAA